CACTTTTCATATACCTTCTCGCCACCCGATTGCCCCTTTGGGGAATTGCCTGTTTATCTCCTCTCCCTATTTTTGGTGGAATTATTAGGTTTTTTTTTTAATTGTTGAGCTTTGTGAGTGCTTTACCTATCGTAGATATTAGCCCTTTAACTGAAGCATTTTTTATGTGAAAATATTGTTTCCCATTCAATCTGGCGTCTCTCTGTTTTTGCCCAAGTTTCGTTTACCATGCAAAACCTTTTAATCTGATGTTGTCCAGTGAAACGGTAAAATCTTTATTGAGACCATTGTAGATTGACATGCGGTTGGAAAAAAAAAAAAGAAATCCCATGTAGACTTGATCTGGTGGCAACATATTTAATTTGTAGTAGTTTGTTTGTATTATCATTTCAGTACAGTTTCCCCATGTGGTTTGTGTATTTGCTGCCACGGTTGTGGTGAACCATTACGTCACCATGGGTCTGTCTCCTCCTGTCCTTGGACTCCTGCAGTCTCACTCTCCTCCCTCCTCATCTCCAAGATGCTCGTCCCCGTGGCTACACTTTTATTATTTTAAAACTGTAAACATCAACCACAGCCTGCAACTGTTTTTCTTTATTTAAAAATTGCTGTTACCTGTCTTTTTATTATTCTATTGGAAAAAATATCCTTATATATTGTCAGAGGACTTGGCAGATAGATACACTGTAAATATTTTCTCTGTCATTTTCATTTTCTTAACTGTCTTTTGAAGAGCAGAGATTTTTGCATTCTTACAATGTCAACTTTATCATTTATTAATGGTGTTTTTGTATTTGCACTGAGGAATTGTTGCCTACCCAAAGTCTATAGTGGTTTCTTCTGGAAGCTTTACATTTTTTAATGGCCTTTTTATGTATTCTCTTATCTGCCTCAGATTAATTTTGTTGTAAGAAAAGTGGAAGCTTATCTCTTTCCCTCTACATCTTTGAATAACGATTCCATTGTCTCAGCTCTCTCTTTTGGCTTGGCTCATGCCTGACTGTGCTCAGGGCTTACTCCCTGCTCTCTGCTCGGGATCTCTCCTGGCCGGCCTGGGGGTTAGAGGTCAAGCCGTGGTCCGCTAAGTGGAAGACTAGAGCCCCAATCTCCGTGCTGTCTCGCTGGCCCTTCAGTACCAGTTTTAAAGACTTTTCCTATTAAATGCTTGGCTCCTCTGTGAAAAGTAAATTGACTGCCATGCGTGGCTGTTTCTGGATTTACTGATTTATTCCATTTATCCGGTTCCCTATTTTTACCCAATCAGATAAGATTGTATCTTGAGTCTCCTGGCCTCTACCTTTCCCACTCTGTTCCCCCCAGATTGACCATTCTAGATCTTTTGCATTCCCATATAAAAATGTCGAGTCCATTTTGTCGATTTCTACACAAAACCCTGCTGGGATTAATATAGATTTAGAATCTGAATCTATATAGATTAAGTAATTAGCATGTAATCATAAGCATATATATATATTTGTGACTTCTAAAGATTCTTTAAGCATCAGTTAATATTTTCATTATACAGTTTTATTCCCTTTTTAAAAATTTTAGTCTTCAGGGTTTATTTCCTTTTATGCTGTTTTAAGTAAAATTTATAGTTGGTTCCCAAGTGTTTTCTCCTGGTACAGAGGACCTAGCAAGCCTCTAGTGCACGCTGAAAGGGTGCCCTTCTGAACTGGGGACCCTCTCCTGGACAAAACCATGTTCTTAGGTGGTGGAAGCCATGGAAGAGCTGATCTAGTTTTGCACTAACAGGTGAATTATGGAGAACAGAGGAGGAAGTAAAGACAGTGGAGCACGAACGTTATTGAGAATGATAGTACATGGCTTGTGAATTTCTCACCACCATGGGATCTGCTGGGTGGGTCTTCCTTTTCCTGTTTCACACACATGAGGAAGCATTACGAGGGACTCGGAAGGGGACCTAGGCTCTCAGGGTCATACTATAGGTTTTGGGGTCCAGTCCTCAATCTGGTTCACTCTGGACACAACCCTTTGCTCCAAGTGAATGGCGAGGTACTTGGATTGAGGCAATGATCATGGCATTGGGTGCACTATGATTAAAGAAAAACATGCTGGAAGAGAATTGATTGGACATTTTTCCTGCTGAAAGAGAATCGATCAGGCATTTTTCCTAGTAGGGCAGACCATTTGTCACTGGGTGTAGTGATCGTGTAGCCCTAGCTTCCTAGTGTATGAATGAGATCTCGGTAAAACTGTGAGTGAGGCTTTTAGCCTGGTGATGGTGTTGTCAGTGCTCAGTAAGCAGTTGCTCTGTTGGGGTTGTGGCTAATGGGCTTTACCATTAAGACAGGAAAGGAAAAGCGTTACAGTTTGTGGCTGACGCAGTTTTGGACTAATCCTATTTTACATTTGTGTGAAATCAGCTAGAAAATTAAGCATGCAGCTTCAAGAGAAGTTCAGTGTTGATGATAACATTTTAAGAACTAATCTTTAGCATGCTGCATGATTCTAAGCGGACGAAGCTGAGAAGTCATAATTAGTTTAAAGTAGAGGAAGACGGGGCTGGAGCAATAGCACAGGGGGTAGGGCGTTTGCCTAGCACGCATCCAACCCAGGTTCGATTTCCAGCATCCCATATGGTCCCCCAAGCACCGCCAGGAGTAATTCCTGAGTGCAGAGCCAGGAGTCCACGTGGCTACACTTTTATTATTTTAAAACTGAGCATTGCTGGGTGTGATCCAAAAAGCAAAAAAAAAAAAAAAAAAAAATACAGGAAGACATTTCTTCTTAAGAGTGCTGTGTTTCTTTTTCACCCAAGTCTAGATCAGTAGCGATGGGAGGTTTAACTGGGGCTCTTAAATGTTGTTTTAGGGCCTGGAAGATGTTGCTGTGGGTAACCCACACTTAACCCAGCAGGTGCAAGGGTGTGAGGGTCAACCTTAGTAAGTCCTGCAAGTGCTAAGGGGATCCTGATCTCTCTGGCCTTGGGCCACAGCGGGAGGGGAGCCATCGGATGCCTCCATGAGTTTGGAAGTATCAGGGCTCCTGTGAGACTGAGAGCTTGGTCCAGGGGCCATGTGCGTACCAAGTGATCCTGCCCACATGTGTTCTGGGACGCCCCGTCGGGGAGAAGAGAAATAAGCTAAAATGCTGTTCTAGGACAAGTAAAAGTAAGTCCTGAAGCACAAAATAAACTTAAAAAGGAAGACTTAGAGCCCCGTAAGTGGTAGAGGGAGACGTCCACACAGTGAGCAAGTCCCCATGAATGATTTATTATTAGCAGACTAGAAGGGCTTTCACAAAATTAGCAGACTAGAAGGGCTTTCACAGAACCCTCATACTCTGGAGCATAATTTCAGGAAGTACAGCCTCTTCCTCTTCCAAACGGGGCTTACTTTTAAGGATTTTCAGTACTTTACATCCTCAGATGAGCAGGATTCTGTTTAAGCTTCTTGCTAGCAGACAGGAGCAGCAGCCATGGAAAAGTGTGGGCAGGAGATTCAAAGATTTTGGTGTGGAACTGTGCGGCTTTCTCTTCCTTCAACACCAGGCGGCGCCGCACACCAGCATTCTCCAGGCACAGCCCTGAACCTCACCTTTGGTCCCTGAAGGGTAACAGTCCCCCAGGACCAGTGGGAAGAACTCTGTCCTTTAGAGGAATGATAGGCTCCCCTTGGTTTATACATGGTGAACATTATCAGTGAGCTTCTGAGTTCGTGGGTTTTTTTCCCCCTTTAGATTGTGAGATTAAAGTAGATGAGACTTCTTTTTTTTGGCCTATATTTGGGCAAAACAAGTGTTAGTTCTTTGGATTACGGGGTGTTATTGGTAAGTAAGATACACCCACTGATACTCAGGACTTAATAACACCAGAATCATCGCATGCTGCAAAGCAGCTAGTGCCCCGGTGGGCCCCCCGGCAACACTGGCACGTACATTGTTTAATTCAGTGAAGATTATCTGTGTTGATGACAGTCCTGTGGGGGAAAACCAGACTCACACAGGAGATCTGGAGGGTCTGTGCTGTGAAGAACCCTCCCCGCCCCCAGGGCCAAAGCTTGTTGGGTGTCATACCATGTACTGCCCTATGGGAGAGAAGCGGTCCTTGCCGGGTCCAGAGGGACAGTACAGCAGGCAGGGTGCTTGCCTCATATGCAGCTGACCTTGGGTCTCTCACCTGCATTGCACCTGGTTGCCAGGAATGATCCCTGAGCACAGAGCCAGGAGTAAGTCCTGAGCACTGCTGGCTGTGGCAAAAAAACCCAAAAAACAGAAACACCAACAATGAAAAGACGCGGACTCTTTTGTTGTTAACCAGTTGGAATACAAATTTTCAGTTTTCACAGCTTCATAAATGTCAGTTTACTTTTCAGTAATTTTATTTATATGTTTTAGTCAAGATCTAAGATTCACAAAATTGTGATCAATTGATTTGTCTCATAAGTGTCCCCTTGATCCCTCTATTCCTTTTTCCTCTCTTTTGTTTAATGAAGAAATCAAGTTATGTGTCATACAGCGTTTCCCGCTGGTGGGGTGGCACAGTACACCCCCATGGCCTAGTCCTACGCATTTTTCTGCATCTCCTTTAAGTTGGTATTTAGGTCCAGATTTGACCAAATTAAGGGTTTTTGTTTATTTGTTTTCATTCTTTTCACTGTTTTCAATTGGCTAGGTTTTATATTTGTTTTCCTTTATAAGAAAGGATCGTGACTTGCGTTGGGGATATTTAATGCCTGGTTTTCTCGTTTTCTGATTCTTCATCAGAAAGAATTGTTGATCAGTCTTCATAGCTGCCTTTCTCGGTGTAGTAAACCGCATACATGTGCCTATATCACATTATTGTGATGTCTCTGTTCTTAGCCACTCAAGCGACCTTTGCAGTAAAATAAATTTTAAAGTGTATGAAGAGTAATTGATTTTAAGCAACCTTTCATAACCTGACCAAATAGTTCTAAGATGTTTTCTGGATATAAAAGAAATTTGACTCTTAATGGGTTTTCTCAGCGTTGATTATTTGTATTTTTGTACTTCATCAGATTGTTCTTCCGGTGCAGTAAAAGTAAGGCCGAGGGGAAGCAGTGGTGCGGAGGTATCCCGTGGCAGGTAGGAGTTTCTCATCTGCTTTCTAGCCTGTTAAATCTGCAGCACCTAGGCCTAAAGGGGTTTTGCAGCCCATGTGCCTGTCAGGCTTCGGCATGTGTCCCTGAAACACAGTTCTCTTAAGTTTCCCTTAAGCAAGGGAAACCTCATTAAGGCTTTTTTAATTCAGATGTCCAGTTGGGCCATTTCAAAGTCTTTTCCTTGTATTCTATGCACTTAAATTTTTCTGTAGTTTGTACTCAGGGAAAATTTAGCTCTGAGGAACCTCAGCATCTTCTTGTAGGCCACATACACTTGCGTTGACATAGGCAGAGTACAGTCCACCAGCTCCTAGAATGCTAGAATTGGAAGAGTCTCTTAGGACCCACGGAGCTAAAGCAGAATGGGCAACTGGACCTTTAAGGTTGAATGAAGAGCTCTTGGCTGAATTCACAGTTCTAGATGCCTCTAGTGAAACGCCATAAATCCAGAATTAAAAAAATAATAAATACACAGGACCTTGTTTAGGTTTGGGCAGACATTCATCTTGAGGAGGACATCTTTCAAGAAAAGTACGTGTTGCAACTTCCACTGTTGTCAGAGCTCTTTGATTGGTCTCTACTTTTTAAAAAAATTTTATTTTCATAAAGTTGTTCACAATAATGGATTACATTCAATATTTCTACGCCAGTCCCACCACCATTACACCTTCCCACTGCCATTATTTTGAATTTTCCTGCCATCGCTCAAACCTGCCGAACAGGCAGATGCTAGATGATTATTTTGCATTGCTTGCTGTGAAGAGAATAAGATAATCATGCGGCCACTCTTGCAGCCACGCGCTCCTAGAATTCTAAAATTTTAGAAAATTAGGGTCTGCAGAAATCTCTGCAGTGAGCTGATCAGTTCCGAGATTCTTTTGTGCATCTCTGGATCATGGCCTTTAATGAGCTAAATAGCAGCCAGGGGCAGTTTGTGGGCATGACATCAGGGTGCCATAGGGACAGGGATGTGAGTAGGAACGGCCCATGCCCTATCCCTTGAGGTCTCGAGTCTGCAGTCACTGGTCCTGCATACCTGGGCTTTTCATTGGGTTCCGGAAGTTGGCGGCCACCGGAATTCCTTGGGGGCAGGTGGAGGGACGACCCCTGCTCCCGTCTCAGGCACCCCAGTAAAATCAGCCTGGTGCAAGGTCCGGAGGCATCTCTGTAGTGAGCTGCTCGGTTCTGAGATTCTTTTGTGTGTCTCTGGGTCATGGCCATTAATAAGCTTAAAAATCTGACCTCTTTCTTGAAGCCCAAAAAAGCAGTGATTGTGGACAGAGAAGGAGCCGAACAATCAGGAACATCAGTTTCTGTGAGAGTTTTGGGTGGTCTTGGGAGAGGGACTGGGGCCATCCCTGGTGGTGCTCAGGACTGTTTCTGGCTGGCTCTACTTCGTGGGCCCCTCAAGCCCGGGGGGGGGGGGGTCTTTGGGCCTTGACGGCAGGTGCCTCCCCCTGTGCCGTCTCTCCAGATCCTGTTTGTGAGTTTGGCACACAGTCTTCTATAAAGGCAGAAGTGGTTGCAGGAGTGTTCCAAGAAAATGGGCTGTTTTCTCTCTGTTTCCATTTCCTCCGAGGAAGAAAGTCTCAGATAGGAAGGTTGGATCAGTATGTCTGACGAAAATTATTTCCTTTGTCTTTTAGGATCCTGATTTCAAGGAAGAAGAACATGGTGTAGTCATTAAATCCCAGCCTGCCTCTGATCCATTTTACAGTCTTTCCAGCCAGCAGAGAAACCCATTTAAGGTACTTAACAAGAATCAAGAATCTTCCCTCTGGAGACAGTTCCTCAAAGGTGAGGATGAGAAAAACTTGGCTGATAAGAAGCAAAGGACAAAGGAAGATGACATCTTGGGTCAGGGGAGGGAGCAGAAGACTGAATCTGTGATTGAGGAGAAACAATGGAAGCCAAAATGCGCGAATGAAAAAAAGAAACAGAAGCCCACAGCTCAGTGCCAGGTGGAGAAAGATTGCTCGTCCAACCTGGAGGTCAGGAAGAAGCAAGTAGCCACTCAAGAGAAGCAGCAAGGGCAAAGGACAGAGGTTCCTAGTGAAGCGAAGGCGACTGAAGGGACCGACCAAAAAGACCTGTTGGTGACTGCATTCACGCAGAGCCACGATGGTGACCTAACAAAGTCCATTGCATCCTTTCCAAAGAAATCACATTGGAACAGCCAGCCAGTGAAGGAAGGAGCAGCGCCTCTGAGGGCAGAGGGATGCAGACCTTTACCGCAGGAAGCTCACAGCCAGAGCCCACCGGGCAAGCCTCAGAAGGGGGCACACCTCCACAAGGAGCACCCCAGGGACCTGGAAGCCAGCAGCACGGAGCACAGCCCCGGCACACAGACCGAGCACGTCCGGGCTCAGCCAGGGCCAGTGGTACCTCCTGCGGCACTGGCCGCCGGGCTGTCCTGGGAAGCCCGACGAGCGGCTGACTCTAGCAGCAGTGACAGCGAGGAGGACGAGGGGGCCTCGGAGTACCTGACGCCGGGGAGCCCCTTACTCTTTGATGAGACTCCAGACTCCCTGAAGGAGGACCCCAGCCCCCCTGCTCAGGGCATGCAGAAAAGACCGTCTCCTGTCGGAGGGGTTGCCCAGAAGGTGGGAGCTCTAGACCTGGAGGCCCGGCGGACGTACCTCACCACGCAGCTGAGACAGAAGAAGGTAACTGGTGCCTCCTGGGTTTTGCTTGGCAGGTTGGGGCCCTGCTTGCAGGATGGGTTACGAAAAGGATGGGTTATTGTTGTGAAAAGGCTCGAAGCTGGGTGCTCGCTTTCTGTTTTTTGTGGGACTTAGATTCTCAGGATTAAGTGAGCTGGATGGAAGATGTAAGCCCCACCAAACCCCAGGTGTCGAACGTCATGAAAAGGCCTTAATTTTGGAGCTCCAGCATTTTAGACTATGGCTGTCTAACATTGTGCCCAACACTCAGAAGGAGAGCTCATCTTGGGGGGGTCTGTTTTGCAGAGCACACTGGCGTCGGTGAATGTCCAGGCTCTTCCAGACAAGGGCCAGAAGTTGCACAAGCAAATCCAGGAGCTGGAGGATGCACTCGGCGCCCTTGCACTCTGCCCAGAGCAAGGTAATTCTTTGCAATCAGAACTTGGGCCTTGCGCGAGGGCCCAGGTGTTGCATCCAGCCAACCTGGGCTTGATCCCTGGTGTCGCATATGGTCCCCCGAACACCATCAGGAGTAATTCTGGGGGCAGAGTGTGACCCAGACATTGTCAGGTGCGACTCAGACAACAAGCAAACAAAAAGAACGTAGGCCTCACATAAACTCACAAGAGACATTTGCAAAACTGCTCCAGTAAAGAATCATCTTGATTCGTGTGTCCTTCCGTTTTGTTACCTATTCCCATGCTTTCTTTAACATTGTATCAATGATGTACAGAGGCTCCTGTTTCCTGTCAATCAAGCTCCTTCTCGTTGTTTAAGCAACCACGTAAAATCCTGTGCTTGCAGGAAAACTTCCCCAGCTCATTGAAATGATGGTGTCCCGGTCCTTCACCTCATGCATATAAGCTCTTCGCCTTTCTAAATGTTAAACTGTTCTCTCGTTTCTCTGGGCAGATACTCATGAGACAAGTAACACTCAAGTACCGCAGCAGAGTAACTTCTCCAAGCCTGCCTCTGAGCCTCCCCACTTGGTGGCCCCCCAGCCCCTACAGCGTCAGGAACTGCAGCATTTTCGGGGGCAGACAGCTACCAGAGAAACTGGTCAGTGCCATGGAGGTAAGACATGTAAGTTGCAGTGCTTCTGAGTCATGGGCGACCTGGCGGATGTCTCGGCATCCATGTGAGGTGGGGACATTCTGGGGTTGTCAGTTGCCTGTGAGATCCAGATCATGATGCCCAGCTGAGCTTTGCACAGTATTAATTAGATCATGGGGGACAGTGACCACATCTTGCCTTCCTCGGTGGGCCTGTATCAGCCAATCCACACACCAGCATGTTGGAGACATCCAGTAAGTATTTGTGTGTATAGAAACTCCAACGCACATCCCAGGAAGGGGGGTCAACCCACAATTGTTTGTGGATTCTGTGTCTGTGTGCGTGACCCCAAAATGGTCGACAGCAGAAAAGACCGAAGACCAGTGGAACCGTGAAGATGAGACTGTGTGTGTGTGTGTATGCCCTGTGCACTTGTATGAGCAAAAGAACACAGATATTACAGGTTGTCTTAATTTTCCATTTTATTTCTTTTGTTTTAATTTTTTGTTTTTATTTCTATTTTTTTCCTTTTTTGGGTCACACCTGGCGATGCACAGGGGTTAATACTGGCTTTGCACTCACTCAGGAATTACTCCTGGCGGTGCTCAGGGGATCATATGGGATGCTGGGACTCGAACCCGAGTCGGCCGCGTGCAAGGCAAATGTCCTACCCGCTGTATTCTCACTCCAGCCCCCTTTTTATTTCTTTGGGGTAATAGTTTTAAGGAAGAGTGGAGCAGACTGGGGTAGAGGAGGCGGGAGGCAGGAAGGCAAGAATTGGGGTCTTCAGAACTCCAGCATCTGACTGACAAGGCCCGGTCACCTTAAGACCTGGGCAGGACCTCATCTTGCTGTGTTGTCATATGACCCCCTCTTGTGCTCAGGCCTTGCACATCTCGATCCCTTCCATGCTGTTTGGAAGGTCACAAGTGAAGCCATTGAGGAGCTGCATCAGTCCCTCAAGTCTTGTCCTGGTGATTCCGCCATGGCAGAGGACCCCGCTGGGCTGAAGGTGAGTTGGTGCGCACGGCGAGGGTGCTGTCCTGCAGCCTGCATCTCGGTGTCTTCCTTCTGGGCATTGTCTTTTCTGCTGAGCATTGAAAGGGGGGAAAAAATCACCTTTCCCCTCCTTAAAGCCATAAAGTGGCCCATGTCTGGCAGAAGAGGATCCGTGTATGGCCCCTTGAAAGCTGGGGCACAGAGGCGAAGTTGCTTCCTGAACTTGAGCGAGCTGAAGTTCATTCTCATGGCATCTGTTTAAGAGGTGCTAGAGAATGGCCTTAGACAGGGAGAGATCGTGTATTGAAGTGTACTGTAGACTGTATACGAAGAACAAAGGGAGTCAAAATAAGGGAAAAGTCACTCAGAGTCACTGTTTCTTTCCTGCCTACTTGGTGCCAAAAAAAAAAATAAACATTCAAAAAATTGGAGGAGTAGGTGCTATAGGAACTATAGGTAAAGGTAAAGGTAAAGGCCCTCCCGTTGATCGTCGATTTGCTCGAGCGGGCCCAGTAACGTCTCCATTGGAGACTTTGTTGTTACTGTGTCTGGCATATCGAATACTCTCGGTAGCTTGCCGGGCTCTCCGAGAGGGGCGGAGGATTCGAACTCGGGTCGGCCATGTTGGCCGCTTGTAAGGCGAACGCCCTACCCGCTGTGCTATCACTCCAGCCCATAGGAACTATAGTGATAGTATAGTGGGTAAGGGACTAGCCTTGCACACAGCTGACCTGGGTTCAATCCCTGGCATCCCATATGGTCCCTCGGACCTGCTAGGAGTGAGTGGTCCATGAACTCATAGCTAGGAGTAAGCCCTAAGCACCGGGTGTGGCTCAAAAGCGGAAAGAAAAGGAACTGGAGGAGGAGTAAAGATAGAACAGCTAGAGACCGGACCAGAACGATAGTACAGCAGGTAGGGCATTTGCTTTGCACGCGGCCGACCTGGGTTCAATCCCTGGCATCCCATATGGTCCCCCAAGCACTCCCAGGAGTAATTCCTGAGTGCAGAGTCGGGAGGAACCCCTGAGCATTGCTGCGTATGACCCCCCCTCCCCCAAACAAAAAAAAAAGAACAGCTATTTGGTCATTCAAGGGAAGATCCAGGGATTGGTGATTGGTGGCGGGTCCCCGAGCTGGGTGCGGCGGTGGGGCTGGAGGCCACAGGCCTCTTGTCTCGAGTGTGTTTATGATAGCAGAAGCACGGGAGATGTGGAAGCATCACTGTGGCGCTTTGAACAGGGGTGTGTTTTGAAGACGATTTTGTCACCAAGTACAGGATAAAGGGGAGTGGGGGAAGACTGGAAGGAGGCTCCAGTTAAGGACGGGGCAGTCCCGATGGGCAGAGCACACGGAGTCATGGCTGCAGAAACAGGGGTCGCGTTTAGGAGATGAGGAGGAAAAGCACGTGGAATGGCTGGTGACTGGGCAGACCAAGCAGGAGCCCTGGCTGTGATGTGGTGGGTGCTCGTGACATCCTATGGGTTGACTGTCCTGGCTGACTGGGCGTGGGGTGACCCGGCGCACACTGGAGCAGGGGCTCCACGTGTCGGCTTTCCCAACAACTCGGAGACAGGGACGAGGAGTAGAGCAGGGCGCCCAGGGCCCAGCACCCCCGTCCTGCGAATTCTGACTTGGCTTTTGTTCATTGCCTCTGTCAGGTCCCCTTGCTGCCACACCAGAAGCAGGCCCTGGTCTGGCTGCTCTGGCGGGAGAGTCAGAAGCCACGAGGAGGAATTCTGGGTAAGCTGGGTGCTGTGGCCGTGCCCGCACTGTGTGTCTGCAGAGCTCTTCCTCCGTGCTGTCCACAGAAAGGACACTGAGCCGGGAGCACTCAGCATGAACACTCAGCTGTGGGGTTGCCAGGTAGATGCCAGCTCTGGCCGACTGGACAGAGGAGAGTGGCCTCCGGTGGCCCTCAGACTCTGTGAGGTGTCCAGAAGCAGGCTGGGGGGTGGACCCCTGGGAGCAGTGGCCCAAATCGAGTCACCCAGAGTGCCCCATAGCCGCGGTCTGGCCTGCTCTGCTCATCAGGGAGGATCTCCCTGGAGCCTCTCCTGAGCCTCCTGCGTCAGAATCGGAGCCAGAAACCCAAGCCAATCTGCTGTGGTTGGCTTCCAAGGACACATGTGCTCCAGGCTGTACCGTAGGACTCTGGAAAATGCTTGACTTCTAGAAAATCTGGCAGCCATCCACTGTGGCCAGAGAGTGGCTGTGTTGGAGTCCCCCAGGGCGACCCTCAGGTTGAATGATTTGCAAGGACGTCAAGGATGCAGGGTGGTCATGGCTCATAACAGAAAAATTTAAAAAGTGAGCATGACTTGACTCAAATAGCCATCAGCCAGGGGAAGGCACCACTGGCCATGGCCAGGGAGCACCAGGTCATATTCCTGGAGGACTCTTGCTTCCTGGGGGTGGAGTCACGTTTGGATACACACAAGGAGCATTCCCACCTTGGGGGAGTTAGCTGGGATTACTCATGCTCGTCAGACACTGGGCGCCCTGGTTTTCCTGGGCTGGTCACAGGCAGCTTCCGCAGTATGGAGAGTCCTGTTGTCTGCAGTCTGGTGCCGCTAGCACGCTTTCCCATCCTGGGAGTGCTGCTCACCTCCTTGAATCCACATCGCAGATGCCAACCCAGAGCCAACCTCACCTGCCATGCCAGTCTTTCCCAGAGTAGCAGGCAGCCCGCACAGTGGTGGGGCCAGGATGCCAGCTAGTGTTTGCGTCCCTTGTTACTTCTGCTTGTGCTGCAATGATTAGGTGAAAATGACGATAGTAAGGCACTAGAGGCTGTGAATCCCGAGACATGCCTGCATACTGGCCCGGTGAAAATACCCCCGGTGTTCCTTTATGCCCCTGATCAATTAGTGAGTTAGATAAGTGACATTCTGGGCCGACTCCTAAGTCCAGATGTGCAGCAGTGCTAGTCGAATCTGTAGGAGGATATGTCCTCTAAAGGCCCATCTTTGTACTGTTGAACAGAAACAAAGCCACGAGGCCGCAACATAGCTTGAGATGATTGACACAGGTGGTTCTAGTAAATACTCTAGCTCAGCGACTAGAATGAGATCTAAAGGATCTGTCGTGGTTGTTAGTTGAGGGACAGCTGGTCGCAGTGCCCATGGGACCGCGCAGGGTTAGGCCTCAGACCCAGTACATGTCAGAGTGTGCATATATGCCCCACCCTGGCCCAAGAAAAGAGTTAAAATTTTATAAAAATAGCAAATGCTTTTGATGTAGATTTCACCGTGAGTGGTGAGAGTGAGGGCTGATTTTAATTAGGACGTGAAGAAATGATTGGGGTGGCAGGAGTCCTGGCATGGTAGCAGCGGCAGCAGAGAATGAAGATGAGAACTGCTGAGTCGGTTCGTTCTTGGCACTCATTAACGCTCCCGTTTCTGGTTGTTTTCTCCCCAGCGGATGACATGGGATTAGGAAAAACCCTGACAATGATCGCACTCATTCTTACCCAGAGAAATCGGGAGAGAACCAAAGAAAAGGACAACAGAAAAGCTGTGACTTGGCTTTCCAGAGAAGGTGCGCGGAGGGACCCTGCCAGCCTGCCCTGCCCGGGCATTCTCGAAGGCCAGAGTTCTTCCACCTCGAGGGGGCTGTTGGGGGCAGGGGGCGTCACCCACTGGAAAACCAGTGCTGGGCTACTTGCCTTGGTATAATGCCTGATCTGAATGTACTAGTTATCTGTGATCATCTTTTGCATTTTAGCATGGACTTATATTAAATGTGGTTGTGAAAGTTCTTATGGAGAAAGCTCAGGCTCTAGAAGACTTATCTTAAGCAGAGAAATGACTCTTTTCCTAAATGTTGAGATAGCAATAGGATAAATTTGAATTAAATAAATTTGGATTTGATAAATTTGGCTTTTGGGGGGTTAATTTTTCAAGAGGAATCTGACACAGATGCAGATTTTAGCCACCATTGCAAAAGACATTTCTAGTGAGTCTGAGGTTCCAGAAATTTCAAACTCTACATAGGATCTCTTTTTCTGGTTTATTTTGTTTCCTTTGATTTTTGGTGCAAACAAAATCAGAACCCAGGGCCTTCTCCATGCAAAGCTTGCATTCTATTGATGTCTGGCTATTTTTTTTTGTTTTGGGGCCACAACTGGGCATGGTCAGGAATTACTTCTAACTGTGCTCAGAGATTGCTCCTTGTGGTGCTTGGGAGATCGAACTTGGGTTGGTCTCGGGTTGGTCTCATGCAAGGCAAATGCCCTACTTGCTGTACTATCTCCCTGGTCTAGTCGTGGCAACTTTCATCTTATTTCAGCCATTTTTAAACTGTAATAACTGTAGGGGCTGGAGCAATAGCACTGTGGGTAGGGCGTTTGCCTTGCATGCAGCTGACCCGGGTTTGATTCCCAGCATCCCATATGGTCCCCCGAGCACCGCCAAGAGTGATTCCTGAGTGCATGAGCTAGGAGTAACTCCTGTGCATCGCCCGTGTGACCCAAAAAGCAAAAAAAAAAGAAAGAAAGAAAAAACCATAAATATCATAACTGTAAATTCTTTAAAGGTCTGGCAGAGCATGAATAGGCAACACTGCACGTTCAGTAGCATGGACGTGAATAACTATCAATTTATTTTAGATAATTGAAAAATCCATAGCCATCTGCTCCTGGGACAGATGCTGTGCTGTCAGGTCCTGGGTCCCTGTGTGGAGTAGCATACGTGCACACAGGGGAGGAGTCTTGGTACGAATACCATCATCACTAACTGGGAATGTTTATCTCAGGGACGGATTTTCAGTGTGGGTTGATTCAGCCATGCTTTTCAGGAAAAAAGTAACAGTGTTCTGTAATACATCAGCTCAGGGGGTTTTGGGGCATGATTCAGCTTCTCCCTTCTACCTCGTCTCCGAAAGCCCTGTTGGTTTTTAACGACTAAGGCCAAGGTCGAATGTGGCTGACTTCCGTCTCCTCCTAATTTAGCCTTTGTGTCTGACAGACACTTTTATAGCGGAAAATAAAGAAATAATTGTTTTGGGTTAAAAGACAGCCTCTTCCATTCCCTAGGCCGTAAGCTGGGTAGTAGAAACGAGAGCAGCAGTTGTTCAGAGATCGAGTGACGTCAGGAGAAAGTCTTGACTATGAGAAGTTACAGGTATTTTGGTGAGCATAACTTGGTGTCGGCTTTTGTTGTGTCTCTTTTTCCCTCCTCAAGACTCCTCTGAGTGTGTTTCCCACGGAACGCTAATCGTCTGCCCTGCTTCCCTGATCCATCATTGGAAAAACGAGGTGGAGAAACGTGTGAGCAGCAGCAGACTCAGAGTCTGCCTCTATCACGGGCCACACCGGGAGCAGCGTGCCAGAGTGTGAGTCTGTGGGGGGTGTGGCAGGCGCCTTGGCAAGCCCCTGGCACCTGGGCTGATGGATCTGGGAGGACTGAAGACAGTCTCGTCTCCAGCTGGAAAGAGGATGTTGTTCCTTTGCTCTGTCCTTGTCCCTCTTTCCAGCAGAACTTCTTGGGAGGAGGCCTTGGCTGCCAGCCAGTTGCAGCGTCCCCTGGTCGAAGAGGCTCCCTCTCACTCACCTCTTGGCTGCCAAATTTCTGATTCCAGATTCATGTTTTTGTACTATTAAGTGTGAATGGAACCAGTCAGACTTCAAGGCATCTTTGATGCAGTACTAATTAGTTGATATGTCTGATCATATTTTAATTATGTGTATAGATGTGTGTGTGTGTGTGTGTGTGTGTGTGTGTGTGTGTGTGTGTGTGTGTTGGGGGAGTGGAAACATAGCTGGTAATATTCCAGGCTCTTTGATCAAGATTGTCCAGGGATGGTGTATGGTGCTGGGACTTAAACAGGGGTTAGCTGCATGCAAGGCAAGTGCCTGAACCCCTGCACTATTGCTCCAGAACAACATTCAGGAATTATTTTGTTGTTGTTTTGGGACCACACCCAGTGATACGCAGGGGTCACTGCGAGAAGACCTCGGCCCGCCAAATGGTGCCGGGGATTCAAATGGAGTCAGCCACATGTAAGGCCTTAACCCCTCGACTGTCTTTCTGGCCCCAGGGCCCTACTTTTCATAGATGAACTGCCCAAATCGGAGAATGAATGGCTCCCCCGATGGTGCTCCCCCTCCCGTCCCCACAGTTGTGGTGCTCAGGACGGTGTGCAGTGCTCAGAAAACTAGGCCGTGGCAAACACCTGGTTGCTGCTTGCTTGGGCTCGGTGGCTGTGTGCGGGGCTCACCCTCCTGCCATGGGGTCTGCTTGTCTTTCTTCATCCTGGTGGGCGTTAGTTGTGGTGTGCAGCCCCCCTGCCTCTGCTCTAGAAATTGCTTGGAGTTGTGGTACCAGGGGTCCCATACTCCAGAGTCCAGGCAGGGCTCTACATAGGAGAGCCTCTGGGGACTGCCCTCGTGACTTCATGCTTGCACGGTGGGCACTTCCGCTGCCGAGCTCCCCACCCCAGGCCCACCCCAGCCCCTGCCTCCACAGAGCTGTTTGTTACTTGTGCTGACTGAGGACTGGTGATTCTTGCACAGTTGCAGCTGTGGTGCCCGCCTGTGGGGACCTTGCGGCTCCAGGGTTCACACTTGGCCATAGGGCTCACTGCGGGTTGGTTGCATCTTAGCTGTCTTGCTTGTACAGTGCTCGCCGGGACTTGCTGCAGTGCTTACAGACATGCATGCCAGAGGCTGACTTTCTAACCACAGTGGTCACACATCTAAAGGTGATGGGGCTGGCACCTCTTTTTTTGTGACTCTAACACACTCCCCCCCGTGCTTCCTCCAGAAACTGCTTCCAGCTCCGGGGATCACAGCCAGGGCATGTGGACACCAGAGATCTGCCCGCATGGCTGCACACTTGTAAAGCTTCCTCTGCCCCCTCGGGCCAGAGGTGGTGATTTAAGTAGGCTTTGACTTTTGGCTTTGACTTTGACTTTTGGGTATTGTTCCTAATTGGGCTATGAAGGGCGTGTTGAAAACTTGGCTGATCTGTTTGACATTTTTAGAACAAAAGTTCTTCTAAGTCATCTCTTACCTTCTCAAAAACAAGGCGGTGGTCCTTTGGGTTTTTTTTGGGGGGGATGTTTGGTTTTTTTTTTCTTTTTGGGTCACACCCAGTAATGTTCAGGGGTTCCTCCTGGCTCTGCACGCAGGAATTCCTCCTGGCGGTGCTTGGGGGACCATATGGGATGCTGGGACTTGAACTTGTGTGCAAGGCAAACGCCCTACCCGCTGTACTATCACTCCGGCCTCAAGGCCATGGTCCTTCAGGAGTGAAATTGCCAAATCGGTCATCCCTGGTGTTAGGACACAGCAGTACTCACGACTGAGTACTACTACTACTACTCCAGTAGATGCAAGTGTCAGGCTCTCTGAGGAAGGATATGTAAGTGCCCCGCTCTGCTCGATTTCCCGGAATAAATCATGTCTCACTTGATTGGCACTTTTACATGTGGACTGTGCTTGTTGACTGATTGGAATCATTCTCAATTTTCCTCCTTTCTGCCTCTGAATTGGGCATGTCATTTTCATCAGGACTGCGTCTTGAATTTCTCTCGGAGCACAGAATCAAGGTCAATGGAAAAAGATCATGCCTTTTGTTACGATGTCTTGCTGTGTAAAGAGTATGGGCAAGATAAACTGAATGTGTACACCCTGTGTTTTTATACCCAGTTGCCAAAGCCTGATAAGTAGATACTCACAAATCCATTAGAGGAAGATAAGAAGAAAGCTCCTTGCTTTGAGCATTCTTATTCCCCAGGGCTTTAGCATCGCCTATGTTGAAGCACCACGAAAATGTCAATTCCCATCTCTGCCCTACTTTCTGCTCTGGCCTGATCATATCAAGCTTAGTTTGACTTCACTTGAAGGTTTTCCTTTCTGACTCATTGGTTGGAAAAAAGGAGACTATCCTGACCGTTGTCTGTAAAGAATAGCAGGAAGGCCAGAGAGACCGTGCAGGCGTTTGCTGCACCGTCTCTTCACATGGCCAGCCCTGTTCCGTCCCCAGCACTCCATGTGCCCACCCAGTAGCCCCCAGGATGATCCCTGAGCACAGAGCCAGGAGTCGGCAATAAACCCGAATACAGCCACCTGTGACTCACAAGGCAAAATAAGAAAACAACAACAACAACAAAATAGTTTATTTTTATCCCTTGCTATAAGGAAGTCAAGTGAGAAGGATTTACCTCTCAAGAGTTGTGTGTGGATTACAGACATAGAATTCTCCAGTGCTTCCTGCAGTCAGCACTGTTCTGAAGGGATTCCCTGGCCCTCGTCTGAGCCCGGGATGGATTATTGACCTTTCGCTCTGTGTTGTTTTTACAGCCTGGCTACCCATGACATTGTGGTCACCACCTACAGCATTCTGGCCAAGGAGGTCCCTACGAAGAAGCCGGAGGAGGAGAGCCCAGGTGGCGATCTCAGCATGGAGGTGAGGCTTGGGGCTGCCTGGGAAGTGAGACTAGCCACACGTCTTTTAGCGGTGTCAGAGAGACAGCGAGGACACCTTCTGGGGGATCAGGAGTAGCCCCCAAATTCAGCCATGAAATCAAAGAGCTTTTTCCTCTTTCCCTTCTCTCTTCTAGAATAACCTTGTTAGTGATACAGGTTGAGGCTAGCACAATTTTGAGGTTTTTTGAGTGTCTTTCTCTCTGTCTCTCTATCTCTCTCTGTCTTTATCTCTGTCTCTCTCTCTTTCTCTCTCTCTCTCTCTCTCTGAGCTAAGAATGCATCCATTGCAATTGTGTAATCATCAGATGAATGAACACAGGAATACCTCACTTATTCAAGTTTTTATTTTAGGCTCTTTGGGGTATACTCAGGATATTTTTTATATTTCGTGTGGAAATGAATTTTAGGGCCAGAGAGATAGTAAAAGGGACAAAGCCTGTAGTCCTTATTTTGGCTTTAAGTAATTTCAGTCTTAACTAATTTTACTAAATTTGGAATTGCCCCATCACTCATTCCTTGCTTCCCTTTGACTCCTAGGAATTCGGGGTTGCAAAGAACAGATGGGACTTTAAAGGACGGTGTGCTAAGTAACCTGGGAATAACCGGGTTAAAAGCTTGTGCATTTGCTGTTGAATTCAGGGTTGTGCCAGTTACAGAGTGAAGAGGTTTTTATCAGTTTTTATTACATTGTTATTGTGGGACTTCATTAAGCATCATTCTAAGAACTGTTGGTTTGCATATGTGTTATTTTTTTGTGCCAGAGTATAGTCACCGATTTCTGTACGCCTCGTACTATATATATATTTTTTCTTATATCCTACAAAACGGCCAACCTGGGTTTGATTCCTCCGCCCCTCTCGGAGAGCCCAGCAAGCTACCGAGAGTATCCAGCCCACCCGGCAGAGCCCGGCAAGCTCCCCGTGGTGTATTCTATATGCCAAAAACAGTAACAACAAGTCTCACAATTTGTTGTGAGACATTACTGGTGCCCGCTCGAGCAACTAGATGAAGAACAGGAGGACAGTGCTACAATATCCCACAAAGAAATGCAGTCATTCTATACCTGTCCCTCTCCTTCTGACTCATTTCACTCAGCATGATACTCTCCATGTTCATCTGTTTATAAGCAAATTTCATGACTTCACTTTTCTTGACAGCTGCATAGTATTCCATTGAGTAGATGTATCATAGCGCATTTTGGCCATTTAATTTCTTCTTTGAGGAATTTTCTTTTCATTTCTTCTCCCCATTTTTTGATGGGGTTGGATATTTTTGTCTTGAAAAATTCTGCCAGTGTTCTGTATAATTTTGATATTAATCCTTTATCAGATGGGTATTGGGTAAATAGTTTTCCCCATTTTGTGGGCTTCATTTCTTTTGAGGTCGCACATCTTTTGTGGTCTTGCCTGCTTGAGGTTCTCTCCCTGTGTCTCCTTATGCCAAGCCAGACCGAAGGCTGCATGGTCCTGCCCTGTGGTCCACCGTTGTGCCTTTTCTTCCCTCTTGAGCACCGCCTCAGCTCCATTCCTCTCTTTCCAGATTGGTTTTGTTTTTTAACCTGCTTCAAGAATCCTTTGGGTACTCTCTTCCCATCTCTGTCCTTCCCACTGACTCCCTGTGGGCTTGGATGTGGCTCCCAGCATCTTGTACTAACTTACGTCCTAACATTTAAGTTAACTAAGAGTCTGCTGTTTGCCAGCTGTGAGTTCAGGCATGAGCAATAGAGCTGTGGTCAAAAGAGATTAAATTTTTTCTGCCAGTAGCAAATTACCAGTAGGGCCTCCTGTGTGTGCATCCTGTCGGGCAATTGTCATAAGCTTTTTTTTTTTTAATCGTTCTTTCTATTCTTTTATTTTTATTTATTTGGCTTTTTGGGTCACAACTGGCGATGCTCAGGGGTTACTCCTGGCTCTGCACTCAGGAATTACTCTTCGTGCTGCTCCAGGGATCATATGGGATGCTGGGGATTGAACCTGGGTCAGCCGCGTGCAAGGCAAATGCCCTACCCACTTTACTATCGCTCCAGCCCCCCTAAGCTTTTTCTTGCCTGCGAACTTGTGAACTTGTAGAGGGTAGGGAATATTCCTTTGTGTTGTCTTAATATTTCAGAACGTTGAGTCATATTTTAGTGCCCTTAATAAAATTTAGTACATATTCTGTATGTGTGGATTTGTAGGCTTGACATCTAGTATAATCTGGCCCCTCACCATTGCTTAAAAGTGGATTGAAAGAATAAAGGAAAATGCAAAATAGGAACAATTTTAAGCTGGCGGTGTGTTTTTGTATTTGTTTTTGGCCATATCTGGCAGTGCTCAGGGTTTACTCCTGGCTCTGTGCTCAGGAATCATTCCTGCCGGTGCTCAGGGGGCCAATATGGGGTGCTTGAGATTAAACCAGGGTCAGCCACATGCAGGACCAGCACCCTCCCTGTGGTATTATTTCTCTGGCTCTTGGGAAAGCTTTATTCTTAGGTTTAGTATTGGGACTTTCAAATGATTCGTTCAGTACATCTGTGAGTTTCGGGTCTGGTTTCTTGGGGTGGAGAGGCAAGGGGATTCTTTCCAAACAGTGCCCAGCACCCCAGGGGCCATGCCTGGTGGTTCTTAGACAACCAGACTCAGTGGTTCTTGGGGGGCGTAAGAAGGGGGGTGTGATAGAGGGACCAGGTGGTCCAAGGGATTTTCCTGTGTACTTGTGTACACAGAACCTCCACCACTGGCCTCTCACTCTGGTGTCTTTATTTTCAGCTTCCAAGCAGTTCTCAGGGGCCCAGGGTCCATTCTCAGGGATACTTGGTAAATCCTGGGCCAGGCAGTTCAGTGACAGGGCGTGGGGACAGGCTTGGCTTCTTGGTTCCAGCACGTTGCAGGCCAGTTGGGCAACGCTGTCGGGACTGGGTCCCTTTGCATGACAGGCCTGTGCGCTTCGCCACTGGGCTGTCCCTTGGCCCACTCTTGGTTTCTTAAGCTTGGTTCTTCAACATACTTGACCTGGGCTCCCAGCTCTGGAGGTGAGACTGGCTTCTTGATACTCACCTATTTCCCCTGATCTGCTGGAGATCACACATTTTCTCATTTTACCCACAGTGTTGGATTTTGCTGGTGTTTCTTTCAGGGCACCTCGACACCTTTGCTTCGCATCAACTGGGCTCGAATCATATTGGATGAAGCCCATAATATCAGGAACCCCCGAGTACAGACTTCATTAGCGGTGTGTAAGCTACAGGCCCAGGCCCGATGGGCCGTCACTGGAACCCCCATTCAGAACAACCTCCTGGACATGTTCTCACTGCTGAAGTGAGTGAGCTCCGGGGTTCTATAGGGGTGGGGGCCACTCGGTAACCCTCATGATTCTTTCATATCTGACAATAAAGCTCCGCTAGGGTGTTGGATTATCTTGGGTAGCAGATGGCAAGCCTGTCAACCTTTAAAGAGCAAAAGAATTCATATTTATAAGAAAATCTGTTCATGGATGGGCTGGTATTGGGCTGATTATGCCCAGCCCTCATGTATGAGGAAAATATAGGACAGATGGAATTAAAGGAAACAAAAGTTTTCTTTAGCCCCATGAATATTTTGGACCACTTCTGCTCTAAAACATGTGGCCTGAGGTTAGGGCTATGGTTGATTTCAAGCAAACAGAAGATTATTGATTTTATAATGCATGTTTTTATTCACGAGCTATGCCTATGTGACCTGTTATGATGAGATAGGCATTGTTTATGGGGGTATTCACATTTTTTTTGGAATGTGGTTTTTGTTGTTTTTGTTACTGACTAGGGCTTTTTGATCTATCTTATGGAGCTTCGCTATGAAATTTGCTTTTAAAAATGATTGGATGACAAACGTAACCAAAAAGTTTGATTCGTTTTTTCATGTTGTATCTTTCCTTGAACTTTTCCTTCATTCTCCCACCTACTCTCTGTCCTTCCTCCACAACAACAATAAAATAAGGTTTCTGCGCTGTTCTCCATTTGATGACTTCACGCTGTGGAAGAGTCAGGTCGACAATGGGTCACAGAAAGGAGGAGAACGGTTAAGTATCGTGACCAAGAGCCTTTTGCTGAGGAGGACAAAGGACCAGCTGGACTCCTCCGGAAAACCCTTGGTGTGTCCCCGCGACTGTCTGGGGGAGCTGGGAGGGACAGCCCTGCCCCTGCTCAGGGCCGAGCCACCTCTGCTTCGCTCGACCTGGGTGCCCCATTCGCTCAGTTTCCTCCCCCCCGTCTTTCTCCGTAGGCAGCCGTGCTGTGCCCGAGTCTTCTTTTAGGAGAGGGGTGGAGCTGTTGTCCAGGGTCTACCTGGGGGCCCCACTCTGTAGTGGTTGGTTCTTTATGTGACTTGACACAGTTTCTTTTTCTTTCACTCTTCAGGTGACGCTGCCTCAGCGCAAATTCCAGCTGCACCGTCTAAAGCTTTCTCAAACTGAGCAGAGTGTCTACAGTGTCCTTTTTGCAAGATCGAGGTGTGTCAGGAGTCACTCACTGAGTGGCTGAGCCTGTGTGACGATCAGTGGTCTGTCTGGGTTCCTCCTCCCTGGTCTCCCTTCTTTCTTCAGCCCCTCACTTGCTCACAGTGCTCTCAACACACACTGAAGGCTTTCAATCCTGTTCTGCCCTGGCTTCCCTGTGTAGGATCCCGGGGTGTGATATGCGGTCTGTGGACACTGTGTCTGACTGGGCCAGGTTGGGAAAGCATCTCCCTGACCTTGGTCCTCCCCTCTTGGACCACATTAAAACTCAAAAACTGCGCTGGAATTCTTCTTGTCGTCTGTCGGTTGTTCTTTGGCTAAAAGTCTTGTCCTTCCCGGAATTCCAGATTCATTCTGTCCCATTTTCTTTCTTTGTGTCTTTTACTCTTCTTAACATACATCTTGATATTATATTGAGTCCTGACATTATATCATTATGTATTAACATTTTGTATAATATTTTTAATTGAATCACCATGAGGTACATAGTTACAAAGCTGTTCATGATCAGGCTTCAGTCATACCATGTTCCAACTCTCATCCCTCCACCAGTTACATTTCCCACCCAATTCCCCTCCCATCCCCCCCTCTCCCACAGGCACTTGTCTTCTCTCTCTCTCTCTCTCTCTCTCTCTCTCTCTCTCTCTCTCCCCCCCCCTCCTTCCCCCCCTTTCTCTTTTTTCACTCTTTCTCTCTCTTCCTCCTTCCCTCTCTCCCTCTCCTTTTGGGCATTATGGTTTGCAATACAGTGCATTAATATTTAAGTTACAAACATTTGTTATTGGTATCAATTAATGCCTGTATGTTATTTTTAAACGATTGGCTTTTAGAAATAATCGCTTCTTTCTCTTTGCCAGTGCTTGCTGGGTGTGACACGATTTAACAAACTGACTGATTATTTTTCAAGGAACCTCCTACAAGCCTGGCCAAGCATGACCATAGGAAGCCTGTGTCACGCCAGTGCCTGTGATAGATACGTGTGTTTTCTTTTTTTGGTCCGAGGCAGGTCAGCTATGCAGTCCTATCTAAAGAGACACGAAAGTGGGAACTGCAAGACTGGAGGAAACCCTGATAATCCATTTAGTAGAGGTAAGCCACAAGAAACTCCGAGAGATCTCTCACTCACGGAAAAGTAGACTCACTGACAGAGAGGGCATGAGTTCTTGGTGTGTGAGACTTGCTTTCGCTGGCGTTCAGGCCACAGTAAAATGCAGTGATCCACAAGCCCTGGCCTGGAGACCTGCATGATGTTTAAACCCCAGAAGTGAGAGGTGCCTGTTACTGCATCTCGGATCAGAGAAGGTTCACGTTGCCTCTTCTGCGTCTCAGCTCCCCCTGCTCTGCCTCTCACTTGTGCTTTGTTTCCCTTCTTGGAAGTGGCGCAGGAGTTCGGGACTGGCGGGTTGGGAGACTCAACCAGGTCCAGCACCGTCCACATCCTGTCGCAGCTGCTGAGGCTCCGTCAGTGCTGTTGTCACCTGTCTCTGCTGAAGTCGGTAAGAGAAGCCCCCGGGCGTGTCTAGGTCTCCTTGCTGGAGCGTGGAAGGCCAGGAGCAGTTCCTGCTTTAGAACGACCTTGACCTTCCTGGAACTTGGAGACTCCGTGGTCTCGAGAACAGTTTTTAATGTTTGTTTTGCAGAGCCTGGCAAGCTCCCCGTGGTGCATTCGATATGCCAAACACAGTAACAACAAGTCTCACGAAGGAGACGTTACTGGACCCGCTCGAGCAAATCGATGAACAACGGGAGGACCGTGACCGTGACTGTGACCGTTTTGATCTATATAGGCTTTGTTTTAAAATGGAAGAATGACCTTTTGTTAAAAGGGAAGCCACATATGAATGCTTCAGTATTTTAGGATGTACGGAAGATCATTTTGTTACTTGTTTTTCTGCCTTTAGCCTGTATTGGGGCTTTTAAGTCCAGTTATGAAAAGTCACCTTTTCTTCTTTTGTGTCAGACACACCCATACGTAACCTGTGACTTGTTCTGTTCATTGCTGTGGAGTTGTAGTCTGATGGTCGGTAACTTGAGAACTGTTCATTCCAGTTGGGAAAAAAAGGAATGATAACGAAGGGAATGTTGTTTGCCTGGCAACTAAGTCTCTAGACGCTGCCCTCATTTGACTTTCTCTTTTTATTATTACTGTCATCGTTGTTGTTTTGGGGCCACACCCTGTAGTGCCCAGGGACTACTCTACTTGTTGTTCAGGAGTCCCTGCCGGTGCTGTTCAAGGAACTGTGTCATGTCAGGGATTGAATCCGGGCCTTCTGCGCAAAGCACATGCCCCTCCATTTATCTTCGATGATACGAGAAAGCTGTGCACATTTCCATTTTAACGAGGGTTTCTCTCAGGAGCTACTGATGGTAAATTAGAATCTGTTTTGCTGGGGACATGTCACATTGCCTGCTTCCCATCCGTGCCTCCTGTGACTGCCTTAGCCCACCGCTTGCTCCTCCTCTCTCTGCCTTGTTCTCCCCAGGCGCTGGATCCCACAGAACTGAAGGGGGAGGGCCTGGTCCTGTCCCTGGAAGAGCAGCTCAGTGCTTTGACGTTATCCGAACTCACCACATCCGAATCATCTTCTACAGTGGCCCTGAATGGCAAATGCTTCAAGATGGAGCTGTTTGAGGATGCAAGAGAGAGCACCAAGGTAGTTTCGTTGCCTCTCTCTGCAGTGAGCCTGGGGCTCCTCACTTGTTTCCTGCAAGGGGTGCCCCATTTGCCTCCGAGCCTGAGAGGGCAGAGCTGAGGTTGTTCGGTTTCCACTGAATTGTATCTTGTGAATGAAACTGGAGTCTTATTCAGTGAGCCTTTAGAGGATGATGTGGGCCAGCCTGGCATCCGGGCAGGGTTTGTGTCAGATTCCAGGGAAAAGAGTTTCTCAGGTTTATGTGAGTGATGAGGCCCTAAGTAAGTGAGCAATTTGTTTCTGGAAAGCTTTCAAGGCTTGACCCGAGAGACAGGAAGAAATCTTAGCACCAGTTTCCCCAATGCACCGAAAGGCCTCCGATTAAGAACACTGTTCCCTACTCAGCCTCTGTCTGCGTGAGTCATTGTCTGTTTGCATGGAAGCCGTTTAGAGGCTGAGGCCTCCGTAACCTGAGTGGGCGAGTCTGTTTCTCTGTCTGCTGACACAGAGCTGTCCTTGCCTCGGCCTCTCCCCGGGTGTTTTTTTTTTTTTATAATTGAACATTTTATTTTATTGTTTTTACAGTTTAAATATCAAATACACAACGGATAGCTTGCCAGGCTCTTCCATGCGGGTGGAATACTGTCGGCAGCTTGCCAGTCTTTCCGAGAGGGATAGAGGCTTTTGGGGCGACCTCTAATCGCCCTCGTAGGTGTTACCATATTTGAACCCTATCAAATATGGTACGGCAATTCCGGAAGATGGGTATTTAGTGTCTTATGATGTGTCCGGAAAGCATCCTGGAGTGTGGTGGCAGCTGGGTAGTGGAGGTAGTGTCGGTAGTGGAGGTCTGCCAGTGGGGTATTTATCTGGTCCCAGTAGGGGTAGGGTGGGTCTTCTGTGTGCAATCCGATCCCTGGGTCTCTAGTGGTTGGTAGGAGCAGACAGGGCAGGGTAGGGTGGGGCTCCTGATTAGAATCCCTTTGTCACCTGTGGTTGGTGGAAGCAAGCAGAGTATCTCTCTCCCTGGGTCCGTTGAGTCTGGAGTCCAAGGTCTCAGAGTTCCGCTTATCTTGTTCTGTGGGTCTCCAGTCGTGCGTGAGTCTTGGCTGGAGCTGCCACGCGGGTCCGGAAAGCGTCCTGGAGTGTGGCAGCAGCTGGGTAGTGGAGGTAGTGTTTAAAACTTTCATGTTTGAGTTTCAATCATAAAATGATCAAACACCCGTCCCTCCACCAGTGTACATTTTCCACCACCAGTGACCCCAGTATCCCCCCTGCCCAACTGCCCCCGCCGTCCCACCCCTCCCCTTGTCTATGGCAGACAACTGCCTTCTTACTCTCTCTCTCTACTTATGGGTATTATGGTTTGCAATACAGATTATAGATCATGAGTAGCCATCATGTTTGGTCCTTTTTCTGCTTTCGGCATACATTTCCCATCCTGAGCAATCCCGTCAACCGTCATTGACTTGGTGATCCTTTCTCTGTCCCAGCTGTCTTCTCCCCCAGCTCATAAGGCAGCCTTCCAGTTGTGGAGCGATCTTCCTGGCCCTGTCTCTACTGTCACAAGGATTTGTTTTTATTTTAAATATTTAGTTTTTAAGAAGAAAGGAGATTACTGCCAAAGAAATGAATTGCTTGATAGAATTACTTGAGAATTCAGTTTAAGAATTACTTTTTTATTAACTTTTTAAAATATTGACCTCGGACCTAAGTAAACTCCACTAATAACTGAGAGAAACATAAGAATGTTCTTAATGACCAAACTTTATACTCCAGTCTCTTCAAACTGAACTATTGGGTTAAGGCTTACCTTCCTATCAGTGTGTGTTTCCTGGTATTCAGGTAATTCACAAGCTTTCTGGATGTAAGGCCATTGATAGCTCAGTCCCCTCCACAAAGCACTGCAGATTTCTCAGAATCGTCTGATTAGCCTTTCATGTTCAAGTCAGCACTCGGTTTCTTTTTGTCTCTGTTTTGTTGTTGTTGTTTTGGAGACACCCAAAAACAGTACTCAGGGCTTACTCCTGGCTCAGCACTCAGGGCTCACTCTTGGTGGTGCTCAGGGAACCATATAGTTGGTGAGTTGACTGCATGTAAAAGCAAGTGCCCCGCACACTGTGCCACTGCTCCGTCCTAGGCACTTTGCATAGCCTCACAAATTGCTGAGACCTCGACACTGTGTGTACCTGTTGTTTTTTTTCTTCCTACTTTATTCAAATGGGTACGTTCTTGGACTTAACTTTCTGCTCTGGTGTCAGTGTGTTTGTGTAGGTTAGAAAGCAAACTTAGATGGGAGCCTTTAGTTTCCCTTCCTGTTAAATACCATACTGTGTCATACCAGCCAGAGCACACCAGAGCCCCATTCCAGACCACATCGTACTGTATCATGCCATGCCATGAGCTACACCATTATAATACAACGTAGTGGGGGAACTGTCTCAGCTGCCTTTTCCCCCCCTTTAGACTCGTGAGATGTCTGAGTGCTGAACTGAGAACTTTGTAGTAGTTCCTCTCCTGTTTCCTGGTCCAGTTTTCTACTCCGCCATTCTAGGAGTGAGCCCAGGGACCCTCGAAGACTTTTGAAAGGTCATTCATATGAGCATCAGGGAGGAAGAACCCTGCTGCCCTCCTCCTGTGTCTCACTGACTCTCATGTTCCCTGAAATAATTTGACTAGTGCCCAGAGAGTTTTGAAGTGTTGGAAAGTGCTCCTGAGTCAGTCAGCCTTTCTGGTCCAGCAGAGTTTCAGGCAGAATGGAAAGTAGGTGTAACTCTGTTCTTCCACAATCGTTAGGATCGAACTTCCTCTCGCCTAGTGGTGTGCTAGTTTCTGGAGGGACAAAAATGTACCAGACAGGTGCTGTCTTTTTCTCCTTGGAGCATCTCAGATCTCAAAAGCAAGCTGTGATTCATAAGTGGTTCCATGAAAATACGACTAGGAAGTGCTAAATAGTACAGCGGCGGCACCTAACCTACCCCTTGGGGTTGGGAGAATCTCTAAGAAGTGATATTAAGCTGGGGGCAGTAGACTGGACAAGGATGTGAGCAAGTGGGCCGTAGGGGAGGGAGCATGGCAAGAGCATCTGTAGAGGCCGGTGAGAGCTGGACTGAAAGGCAGGTGGAGGCCCAGGTAACAGGGCTCTGGGAGGTTGGCCCAGGAAGCGTGGACTCTGCCCTCAGTGGGAAATCACTTTGGAGACTGAAGAGGAGGAAGGAGACAAAGTTAGATTTGTGGTCAGTGTCTTCGTCATCATTGTCATTGTTGCCGACGTCTCACGTATCAGTGCTTGTGGTCGAACCCAGGACTTAACACAGGACAGGCCTGTGCTCTGCCACTCGAACCATACCCTGGCCCCAAACTTAGATTTTAGACATCATTTCAGCGGTGTGAAGGGGGTGGGCTCCTTCAGTGGTGAGGAGGGGGTGGGTTTACAGCTGCAAGCAGAGGTCACTGGGAGACTGTGCCAGTGACTTAAGGGAAAATGCAGCAGGTAAATGTGACTTCCACCCACATATGTTAATGCAGTCTCTTCCCAGATTTCTTCTCTGTTGGCTGAATTGGAGGCAATTCGAAGACATTCAGCGTCCCAAAAGAGGTAAGGCTGTTATTTCCCTTTCCAAGTATTGCTTTTAGGTAAGCCAGAAAACTTGGTATCGTTTACAGTCAGAAATCGTAGACTTTTATTTTGACGACCTGGAATTCTGCTGGGCAGAAAGCACTGAGGTGATAGCAGAAGTTCCCTCTGATTTCTAATGAAAATATTGGTGGCGCAGATTGAAAAGGAGATTCCCAGAGGGTTCAAGGTACGTGAAACCCCCGAAGGAATATTTAAAAAGAAAGCTGCATCTAAAGAAGAGAAAGGGAGTGGCAGAGGGGTGCAAGGGAGAGGAGCAGGATCAGACTAGGAGCCCTGCTCTGCCAGGGTGTTCCCAGCTGTGGCTGAGGGCCCAGGGGGGTTCATGTTCTCTACTCATCTGTGTAGAATAAAAATGTTGACGTAAAAGGATAGCGAAGCCCTCGCAGCTGGTTGTCCTGGCAGCAGTAGGGCCCGTGTCCCTTTGCTATAGGAACGCAGATTTCCTGGGATGAGCCCCAGGCTCCAGATAATAGTAGCTGCCACTTTATCCCGGCTTCGTTTAGCACAAGTTGTGGATCAGACCCAGAAAGCACTGGAGGTAGTCCTGTAATGTGTGTGGTCCTTGGGTTTTAGGAGGCCTCTCCTCATCCACCCACGTGGGGTAATTGAATCTGAAGAATAACAGGGGTATTAGAGTCCTGCAGAGGAGTTTATTTCCTCTAATTGTGTGTGTGTGCATGTGTGTTTGTGTCTATACTTCTGTCCAGTGTCATCGTCTCTCAGTGGACCAGCATGCTCAAAGTGGTAGCACTGCACCTTAAGAGACAGGGACTGACTTACGCCACCATTGATGGCTCCGTCAACCCCAAACAGAGGATGGACTTGGTGGAGGAGTTCAACAGCTCCAGGGGCCCTCAGGTATGAGCTGGCCACGCCGTATCTACTCAGTTAAGAGAGTTAAGAGCAGATGATTCTCAGTTATACAGAGAATTTGAACAGAGGGACTCGTTAAAAAATACTCAGGCTAGAGTGATACTGCAACATGTAGGACTTTTGCCTTGCCCACGGCTGAGCTGGGTTCGGTCCCTGACATCCCATATGGTGTCCTGAGCACTGCCAGGAGTAATTCCTGAGTGCAGAGCTAGGAGTAACCACTGAGCACCACTGGGTGCAGCCCCCCAATATTAAAAAAAAATGAATAAGAGCAAAAAGAATTCATGCCACGATTGTTCTAGGTGTCGGTAGTTTATTGACACATCCAAAGTGTGCAGCTGTGCCAGAGAGAGACTAAAGTAGCAGGAGAGTTAAGTGCAGAACGGGTTCAGATCAAGAGGATTGTCGTGGAGGAGGCAAGCCTTGAAGGATAGGAGGGATTTTGGTGTGGAGTAACATGAAGGAAAGTGAAGGAACTCAGACACCTTATTACATTATTATTATTATTACATTATTACTTTAATTTTTTTATTTTTTATTTTTATTATTTTTTATATATAAAAATAATTTATATATAAATAAATATATATAATTATATAAAAATAATAAATTATTATTATTATTATTACATTATTACATTAATACTTATTACAGTATTCCCCTGTGTAATTGCCACAGACTTTATGCCAACTGTTATATTTTTAAAAGTGGGCATGACCATTATGTGAAATTTTAAAGACAGTGTACCAGAGTTATGTAGGGACACAGGGTGCAATGATTATGCACTGATGCCAGTGTGCCTTAGCCCCAGTCAGGCAGGGAAGTACAGTAGGAAAATGAAATGATGGGTGATAGCGGACACCGACATGTTAGATGGACTCTGGGAAGTGGGGAGTGTTTCGAGCTAATCAACCCCAGTGGTCTAAATTGTAATATTAGTGTATCTTGGCATGCGTACAATGAGTACTTTGAGACTGATTCAGGAAATAAAGGTGAAGTGAGAATCTTCTCAACGGGGAAGCGAGGGAGACGGCTTCTCCGAGTTGTGATACAGTACGCTTATGGCAAGAAAAAATTGGCTAGGAGCAGGCTTATCTGTATTGATCATGGGCTTATGAGAACCTGAGACAGGAGATACGGGTTGTGAGGCCCTTCCTGCAGGAAGCTAATGCCGTGCTTTCTTCCAAAGGTCATGCTGATCTCTCTCTTGGCTGGAGGAGTCGGGCTAAACCTGACTGGAGGAAACCATCTTTTCCTTCTGGATATGCACTGGTAATGATCTGGGAACTTTTTTTTTTTTTTTTGAGTTGTCGTATCGAAGCAGGAAAACTAACTTCTCATCTGGATAAGGGCATTCTAGAGGCTAACTTAAAAAGCTTTTAAAATATAACTTATTTTTGAACTGTATTTATTTTATTTCTCCACTTCCCCCCTTCCCTCTGCTGTGAAGACTGAGGCTCTTGCTCGTGTGCCCGCGCGAAGGTTGCTCTCTAGTTGGGGTACATGTTCGTTCCCTTTAGACTGTCCACTGTAGCTGGGTGTCATTAGAACTGGTCGTAATGCCTGCTGAACTCTCCAGGCATCTCACTTCCTGGTGTGAGGCTTGCACCCCTACCCTGGGGTGTTTGCACACACGGGCTGAGGTGCAGCCGAAGTAAATCACCTTTGGTAAATTATTTTTAAAAGTCTGAACCCAATTTCTCTTTGAGAGCAAGAAGATAATCTTGAATTCTTTTTTATTTTTTTAATGTAGGAGTGTTGCTATTTATTCAACCAATGATTAAGCTGACTGAAGCAAGCATGGACTCCACATTGCTTTCTATTTTATTTTATTTTTTAAAATATCTGTGATATAGACCTGGGCTGGAGCCATAGCACAGCGGGTAGGACGTTTGCCTTGCATGCAGACGACCCAGGTTCGATTCCTCCGTCCCTCTCAGAGAGCCCAGCAAGCTACTGAGAGTACTCTGCCCGCACAGCAGAGCCTGGCAAGCTCCCCGTGGTGTATTCGATATGCCAAAAACAGTAACAACAAGTCTCATGATGGAGACGTTACTGGTGCCTGCTCGAACAAATTAATGGAACAACGGGAGGACATGCTACAGTGACAGTGAGATAGTCCATTACAAAATTGTTCGTCACTGGGTTTCAGTCATACAATGATCCAATACCCATCTCCATCATTGTACATTTCCCATCACGAGTGTCCCCCGTTTCCCTCCCTCCATTCCCCACCACCCTATCCTCTACCCCAGCCTTCCGCTATTTTTGTGCATTATGGTTTGTAAGAGGTAATCTTGTTTGTTCAGGGCATTCAGCATTTTAGTTGGGATGGAAAGACTGGAGTAGTTTTTTAATTGGCTGGCAGCGTTGGGCTTCCAGAAGTACAGAGAGGTGGGCGGAGGTAAGCCATCCCGACCCCGAGAAAGCCTGGAAGCCACAAAACCCACATACTCGAATTTTCAGCAGATTGTATCCTGATGAGGTCCGTCCTGAGACTGTGGAGTCAGGCCAGGGGCACGGCATTGTTTTTGGACTATGGAAGCAAGCAGTTGTCAGGGGCTCTATTTGGACAGGCCTCAGGCTAATCCCTCCCTCATCCCCCCCGATTTACCCCAGTCTGATCAGCCTTGAGCAGGTCTGAGATCAACTCCTGCTTTTGATCTCTTTTGAGATTTATTTATGGGTCTCTTAAAGCAAGACCCTGCCCACACTGCAGAGTCTGGCAAACTCCCCGTGGCGTACCCAGTATGCCAAATACCAGTAACAATGACAGGTCTCATTCTCCAACTCTGAAAGAGCCTTGAATATGGCACTTTTTAAAAAAATCTCAGGGCTAGGACGAAGGAGACGTTACTGGGGCCTGCTCAAGGCAATCGACGAATGACAGGATGGTCGTGAGCGTGATTGAAGCAAGACTGGTAGAAGAGCTTACATGGTGGCATTGGAGTTGGTTCATGGGGGCGACTGCCATTGCTTCCAGGAGTATTGGGAAGTGGTTGGGAGGTAGCCCATCCCAACTCTGAGAAAGCCTGGGGTTTTCAGTCACAAAACCCACACACCCAAATTTTCAGCAGATTATATCTTGGAGAGTTCCGTCCTGAGATGGTGGAGCCAGGCCAGGAATGATTTTGTGTTTTTTCTTTTGTTTTTTTCTTTGCTTTTTGCATCACACCCAGCGATGCACAGGGGTTATTCCTGGTTCATGCACTCAGGAATTACTCCTTGCCGTGCTCGGGGGACCGTATGGGATGCTGGGAATCAAACCCGGGTCGGGCAGCATGCAAGGCAAACTCCCTATACCCACTGTGCTATCACTCCAACCCCGCATGGTGGTGATTTTGGATTGTGATTTTGGATTGTGGAAGCCAGTTGCTGGGGGCTCTGCTTTGGTGGGCATTAGACTGACCTGTCTCCCTCTGTTTTTTTTTTCTGGTCTGTTCAGGCTGTGTGGGTCAGAGATTAACTGCGGCTTTTGATCTTTTTCAAGATTTGTTTATGGGTCTCTGAAGCAAGGCCAAAAAATGAACTTAAATAGCAGAGCTGGAGGTGGTTAGTGGGCGTGACTCCCACATCCCTAACTTTTAGCTGTTTAACTTCTTGGTAAGCTTGGCCCCAAGATGTTGGGGTTCAGCCAGAGGCACAACAGCAATTTGGAGTATCAGGAAGCCTGAAGTCACCATCAGGCTGCTGATGCACTCGCTCTGCAGGTACAGGTTGACCTGCTGGCTGCACTGCACCCACTTTATCTGGAATCTTCGAGTTCCATATAACCCGGGGCCAGAATCTACAAACTTGCATATTTTAAAGCAGCTAATCAATATTTGAGTATTTTCAGGATATACAGTTCTTTGTCACGTTTTCTTCTCATGGGTTTTCATGGTGGTTTATTTATTTTTTAGATTTTTATTTCATAAGTTTGTTCACATTAATTGATTACGTCAATATTTCAACACCAGTCCCACCACTATTACATCTTCCCACCACCATTATTTCGAATTTTCCCATCACCATTCAAGACTGCCTGGCAGGGGCAGATGCTAGATAATTTACCTTCTACTGCTTCTTATGAATATCCTGAGGTGGCCACGCGCTTCTGGAATTCTAAAATTGTAAATGGTTGGGTTCCAGAGACATCTCTGTAGGGAGCTAATTCGTTTTGAGATTCATTTGGGAGTCTCTGGATCAAGGCCGTTGATGTGCTGAGATGGCGCCTAGAGACACATCGTGGCCATGACAGCCAGGACCACAGCGAGTAGGGAGACCGGCTGGGTTGGTCAGCCCATCTCCGCTGTCACCATGTGGCCTAGAATCTTAGTCCTTGAACCCACGCACCTGGGTTTTGCTTCTGGAAGCTCGTGGCCACCAGGGTTTCATCTGGAGTGCTCGCAGAGGGCACACCCACTCCATCTGAGGTGTCCTGGTGGATTCGGCACTGTACGGGGTCTGGAGAGATCTCCAGCAAGCTGCTGTCTTCTGGGATTCACTACTATGTCTCTATTTTTAAAAATAATAATGTGTTAGCCATCTTTTAGTTTAAATACTGTACAGAGCTGACAGTGTGCAGATTCTCCGGCCATGTAGGTGGTCCAATGCTTGACCTTGACCATTATCTCCTGCCAGGAATCCGTCACTTGAAGATCAAGCTTGTGACCGAATTTACCGAGTAGGACAGGAGAAAGATGTTGTCATCCACAGGTAAGTGAATGTTTCCCAGAGGTTGGATCTCTGAAACAGGAATTTAGGGCTCTGTGTGTGTGTGTGTGTGTGTGTGTGTGTGTGTGTGTGTGTGTGTGTGTCCAGTCCCATTACCACCCCATCCCACCCAACACACACACCCACATCCTACCACCACTACTTTCTGGAAATCCCAGACAGTGGGACCGTGAGTGTCCCTTCAGAGCGTGCAGGGGTCTCAGGGATCTGTCTCATGGTCTTACACTGACATCAGACTTTTAAGTCACAGAATCATCTTTCGGGCCCAGACATTGGGCTTTATGCAAGCCTTAAAAGAAAAAAAAAAGGAGGAGGAGGACCAGGAGGGAGAAATGGAAGAAGAAGGAAGAACTCTCTCACTTGAAAACTAAAACATAGATAGGACACTGGGGACTGGGGCTGTATTTTGGTGGTGAATTGTTTGCCATACAAGTGTGAGAACTTGGGTTTGATCCTCGGCACTCATAAAGGGAAAAAAATGAGGGACCTGCTTGGGGGCCCGGAAATAGCTCAAAAGGCTTGAGCACGTGTTCAGCATGAGGGAACCCTGGGTTCAGCTCCCAGCACTGCATGATACCCTGGGCATTGCTGAGAGCAAACCCTAATCACAAAGCCAGAAGTAGCCCCCAAGAACCACCAGGTGTGGTTCAAAAACAAAACAAAACAAACAAAAAAAATCAAACATCAAAAGTATTAAAGCATACAGTTAGAATTTGTTAGTAGATGTTCTGCTTTGGGTTTCTGTCTGCTTACTTGTCTGTTTTTCAGGTTTGTGTGTGAGGGAACTGTGGAGGAGAAGATTCTACAGCTCCAAGAGAAAAAGAAAAACTTGGCCAGACAGGTGCTGTCCGGGTCCAAGGAGTCCAGGATTAAGCTCACATTGGCTGACCTCAGAGTCCTTTTTGGCATCTAAGTCCTGCTCATCAAGTTCAGAATAGCAGAACAGTGTCACTGTTGGTTCCAGTAAGGCGCACCATGGCTCTCTGCACTCTGGTATTTGATTTCACCAGAAGCCTTACATACCCTCGTGAGAATGACCCAGGATCTTCTTATCCCCTGAACGGAAGATCACTCTTATCAATGGTTTTAGTCAGTCATCAGGACATTAAATGTTTTATATCACCCAATCATGTTAATCAGTTTGAGTGACATAGAAGCAATGAATTACTTCAGATAAAAGAAAATGCGTTTGTGTTTAAAAGTTTTGGAAGACAGCTTCGGGAGAGTTGCATATATCAGTTAAAGTTTAAACTGCTGTCTGTTGTTGCCTCTTTTTCTCAGCTGGTTCAGCACCTGTTATCATTACTTCTGTCCAAACGCGGACTCCAGCGTGTTGGCATCTTTCTTGCCAGGAGTCTACTCTGATAGACCCTCTCTTGATGGGTTGAGCAGAGAGTGGACCCAAAGCCATTCCTCTGTAGTTGTCTCCGTCTAAGAATTCCCCTTAGGCTCAGATTAACAGTGTTTGATGTGCAGTCAGAGGAACTGAGATGAGGACTGTTCATGTCATCCCAAAGTACTTTTTTCTTTTTCTTTTTTTTGCTTTTTTTTTTTTTTTTTTTTTTTTTTTGCTTTTTGGGTCACACCCGGCGATGCACAGGGGTTACTTCTGGCTCTGCACTCAGGAGTTACTCCTGGCGGTGCTCAAGGGACCATATGGGACGCTGGGAATCGAAGCCGGGTCGGCCGCGTGCAAGGCAAATGCCCTACCCGCTGTGCTATCTCTCCAGCCCCGCTTTTTAAGCGGGGAGCAGTGCTAACTTTGAGGTGCAAGCATTCTTGCTTTGCATTTTGAGGTGATGCAGGGAGAATAATCCCTAATCTCTAGCGAACCCACTGAAAAATGTAATGTACACCAAGATTCCTTTTGTTATCTTATGCAGTTTATCCAGTGTTCTACCTAATTATGTCTTGGGTAGGTATTATTGATGTTATGTGGATGTTCTAAGTTTGAACCACTATCATTATGGACTGGAACATACCCGTGGTGCATCTTTAAATCCTACTTCCGGAAAATAACTCATGAATTAAACTAAGTAGCATTCCAGTGACTGTCTCAGGCATGTGTGCATTTTAGTTACGAGTCACTTTTAAAATTTTTTTTTCCCTTAATTTCTTTGGTTTGGGGATGTCACTCGGTGGTGCTCAGAGCTGACTCCTATTTCTGTGCTCAGGGATCACTCCTGGTAGTGCTTGTGGCAGCATATGGGATGACAAGGATTGAACCTGCGATGGCAAAAGGGACCTACCCCTCTACTTTCATTCTGTTCCACAAGTCCCTTATGAAAAAACAAAGCTCAGCCCAGAGGGCCTGGCTCTTCAGGACTGGGGCGTAGTGGTGTTTGGGGGTCACAGGGCTCATTTTGACTTTTCACCTGATGGTGCTCAGATCCAGTGCCAGGGATCGACCTCCTCAACAAATTCCCATATACCTGTGAATCACTTTTTTGTTTTATTTTGTTTTGTTTTGGGGGAATTATACCCCGTGGTGCTCAGGGCTTACTCCTGGCTGGCTCTGCACTCAGCAACTACTCCTGGTGGGCCTCAGGGGACCGAATGGGATCCCAGGGATTGAAACAGTATCATCCACGTGCACAGCAAATGCCCTACCTGCTGTTTTATCTGTTATCGCTCTGGCCCCTAAGAATCGCTTTCTTAAGGTCTCAGCTCAGCATGGTAAGTCACGCCGTAGCAGTGGCTTGTCCCATTGTGTGGTGACCGAGTTGCTCAACTGCCTGAGCTCTGCCCCTGTCACCCAGCCCTTTCTGAGGCATCACTGCTGCCTGATTGTCTTCCCTGCATCCGTCTTTCTCCCTTTGGGAGTGAAGTAACAGGAGCTTTCCACATGGTGCCGGGGTTGTGGCTTCGAGAGCCCATGGGAGACTTTACTGCAGCACAGGCACAATTAAGAACCAGGTACTGAGTATCTGTCACCAGGAGCGCCACTTTCCAGTGCCTGGCGTGCCAGGCAAAATCACCTTCACAGAAGGTCAATGTAGTTTGTCTTCTCCTTAGTATCATTGGCCAAAAAAGCATCGTGGTCTGTGGAGGTGGGAGGCAATGAACCTAGCAGGTACATGGCCCTGCCACTGCCAGGTAAGAGCCCTGGTAGCCCACATCTCTCCTAGGTGGTACTAAGCACAACTAATCTGAGTTGTTCTGAGTTCTGCCTGGAGTGACTGTCACTGTCACTGTCCTCCCGTTGTTCATCAATTTGCTCAAGAGGGCCCAGTAACATCTCCATTGGAGACTTTGTTGTTACTGTGTTTGGCATATCGAATACGTCACGGGGAGCTTGCCAGGCTCTGCCGTGCAGGCGAGATACTCTCGGTAGCTTGATGGGCTCTCCGAGAGGGGTGGAGGAATCGAACTTGGGTCGGCCATGTTGGCTGCATGCAAGGCAAATGCCCTACTGCTGTGCTATCGCTCCAGCCCTGATCCGATTCGTTACAAATTAAAATCACTTAATCACTTAACTTCCCGTTAGTCGTCGATTTGCTCGAGCGGGCGCCAGTAACGTCTCCATTTGTCCCTGTCGCGTGCTAGTGTAGCCCAATGGCATCTTTTCGCTCCAGGAACATGGAGGGCCTCAAACCGATCGTTCATGACCTTGACAAAGAAGTCTGACCATCTGGTAGGTGGGCGGCCACGCGGTCTCTTGACATCCCGTGGAATCCAATCAGTAACAGCTCTAGTCCAACGGTCGTCTTTAAATCTCATTACGTGACCAGCCCATCTGATTTTCGACACCTTGGCAAATGAGACAGCGTCCCTGATCCTTGATCGTCGACGGATGTCAGAACTCCGGATTCGTTCTCTCATTTGAGTGAAACGTGATATTCCAAGCATAGCTCTTTCTATTCTTCTTTGGGAGACCTGAATGGCGTTCTCATCTTGTTTGCGTAGGGCCCAGGTCTCTGAGGCATATGTTAATGCAGGAAGAACAGTGGAATCAAAGAGATGTGCCCGGAGCCGGAGGTTCTTCGTCCTCTTAGCTATTTCTTCGACGTTCTTGAAGGCGTTCCAAGCCGCTCTCTTCCTCCTGCGCAGCTCGGGTGCCAGGTCATTTGTCATGTTGACCTCTCGACCTAGGTACACATAGCTGTTGCATTCGGAGATGGTCGTTCCATTGAGAGCGAATGGGGCGTCAGGAACAAGGCTGTTTCTCATAAACATTGTCTTCGTAAGATTCAGCTGTAGTCCTACCTTTCCACACTCACGGTCAAAGTCGGCCAGCATTTGTGCCGCTTGGCTGATGTTTGGTGTTATGAAAACAATGTCATCAGCAAAGCGGAGGTGGTGTAGTTGCCGACCATCTATCTTCACTCCCATTCCTTCCCATTCCAGTCGTCGCATGATGTTCTCGAGGGTGGCACTGAAGAGTTTTGGTGAAATGGTATCACCCTGCCGCACCCCTCTCTTGACATCAACGATCACTTCTTTGTAGAATGGTGAGATCCTGGTAGTGAATCCGCAATACAGCTCACGGAGGATCCTGATGTATTGGGCTTGAATGCCCTGATTGGCTAGGGCTTCAATGACCGCTTCCGTCTCAACAGAATCAAAGGCCTTCTTTAAATCAATGAACGTTAAGCAGAGCGGCATCTTGAACTCCCGAGAAACCTCAATGAGTTTGGTTATCGTGTGGATATGGTCGATGGTGCTGAATCCTTTGCGGAACCCTGCTTGCTCACATGGTTGTCCTTCATCTAGTGTTCTGCCAATCCTATTCAGGATGACTCGAGTGAACAACTTGTAGATGACAGACAATAGGCAGATCGGGCGATAGTTGCCAATGTCATGGATGTCTCCCTTCTTGAACAGTAGTACGGTCCTGCTGGTTTTCCATTGAGATGGAACCTTGCATTCAGACAGGTAGCGAGTGAAGAGCCGAGCCAGTGTATTGATGAGTACTGACGGCAGGTTCTTCAGGTGTTCAGGTCTGACCTTGTCTGGGCCGGGTGCTGTTTGCTTCTTTACTGACGAAATGGCGTGTCGGATTTCGGAAGGGAGAACGTTGGGAACGACATACCCATCCTCTGGAATTTGGTATGTCGGCAAGTGGACATGGCTATCGAAGAGATTTGAGTAGAAGTCATGGATAATCTTCTCCATTGCCGTTCTGGAGGATGTGATGGATCCATCAGGACGTCGGAGGGCAGTCATCTTGGTCTTATAGTTGGCGAAGGACAGGCGGGCGTTACGAATACTTTTCCCGGCTTCTGCCGCATCTACCAGTACTTCTGCTCTTCTCTCTTTGAGGTCTTCCTTGATCGCATCTCTGCACTGCTTTGCAAGCTCGGACGTTAGCTTGCGGTTGCCTGAGGCATGCGCCAAACCACGCTGGCGAATTAGCTCAAGAGTTTTCGAAGATAGGCGACTTTTTGTGGCTATCTCTCTCTTGGCGTTGCTCGCACATTCATGGAGGTGCTGAACCAGTCGATCGTATTCCTCGTCAATGTTGTCAACAATGGCATCTTCCCATGTTGCCGCAATAGTACCAAAGAGTTCCCAGTTGGTGGTCGTTCTGGGAGTTCTCTTTTTGAACTTTGCAGCCCTTTCTCCCCGCTCTGTGAAGTAGAATTTTGCACGAAGGAGACGGTGGTCCGATCCCGTTCGAAATTTTGGGACAACAGCGACATCAGTCAGGCAAAACCGTCGATTGAATATGATGTGGTCTATTTCGTTGTGGAATCGTCCACCGGGAGACTCCCATGTCCATCGTTTAGATTCTGCCTTCTGGAACTGTGAGTTACCATGAATGGTCTTGGTCGACATGATGAACTCAGACAGTCTCTCACCCTGTTCGTTCCATTCTAGGCCATGGGTTCCGATGTGAAGTTCTTCAGCTGATCTTCTCGGTCCTATCTTGGCATTAAAATCACCCACAATGATCTTGTAGAAGGTGTGGTCTTCTTTATAGAACTTCTCTAGCTCCATGTAGAACTTCTCGATTTCTCTTTCATCATAATGAGATGTTGGTGCGTAGACAACGAAGATAGAAACTGCAGGCAGTGAGCCACATCTATTCAAATGTAAACGTCCGATTCGGGTTGTTAGGCATTCGAATGAATCAATGCTCTTGGCCAAGTTTGTGTTGACAAGGACACCGACGCCTCCAACACCTCTTTTATCGCATGTTCCGAGGAACAATTCTTCTCCAGTGTCGAAAACGGCATGGTGAGATTCGTGTCTTCTTGT